GGTCAAGTTTTATCTAAAGTTTAATGGTTTAATTTAGGAGATTTTTAGGAGTTTTAATGTTAAGTAGCATATAAAACAAAGAATTAGTTTCTCACTGTTAAAATAACAAAATGTTCTTTAATTTCTGAGTGAAAAGGTTAATTTACTTGTGTAATCTGCCTGGAAGACAAATGTTTGGTCTCTCATTAGAATAAGATTCCTGAGTCTGAATACCAAGCCACATGGCTTTTAGAAAAGGAAGCTAAGATTTTTACTTTAAGATCTTTGGTTAAATAACTTAAGTATTGTTTCACAGTGACCTATAATATTATAATTTCTTTATTGCTAACTTGGTTGCAACTTTATCTTTTTGAATCTAGCATCATCTAAAGCCAATAGTCTGATTGGAGAGTTCACATCATTTACCTATAAAGGTTTTTTTATTACTATTCAGGTATTTAGAGATTTGATAATCTTGGTATATCCTGACTATATGGTATATTGTCTCAAAATTATCATGTATTATTTCTGAAGCTCTTTGGATACGGTTAATGGTTATATTTAGAAATATTTTTTATCTGAAGTTTTTTTTAACTGATTTTATTTGGCCTTTATGTTGGGCTTGTAATTAATTTCTATCAGGTCTTTTACTATTAAGGATATTATGTTTATGAATTAATCATAGCCGTATTAAGTTTTGTTATCTGCAGGTAAGATTTTACTTTGCTGATTTGCTGAAAAAGTTTGACCAAAATATCTCAACAAAAAGATGGACTATACTGGACTTGCTAAAAAGACTGTGACTAGACTTAATAAAATTTCCAGAACTCCTATGCAGAAGTTGATGGGCTCACAGACTGCGGCTGATCCAGAATCAAGTGGAACAGAAATTAACTACATAAGACTGAGTAAACTACAGGAAACTATGGTTTTTTTTATGTGGGAATATTGCTGACGTTTTAAGGTCCTACTTTCTGGATATAAGAAACCACTTTCTTTTCTCCTAAATTATCTAACTAATGGGTTTAGATATTGTAACTCTTGAATTAGAAGTTCCTGTTGTAAACTTAGCAAAGTTGTAAATATCGTAACCAGAAAAGTGTCTGAAATTTGAGCTATGATTTTACAAAATAAAATAGCGTTAGATTTCCTATTAGTTCTCCCAAGAAACAGTTTTGTGCCTTAATAGATAAATGTTGCTATATTTATATTAATACTCAATCTGAGGTTTTGCAGAATGTAGTTGCTGTTGAGGCACATGAGAAACAGTCACTAATGCTACTTATGTATAGACAAACACCTCATTAGATTTGTTTCCTTGGTTCAAAGACCTTAGGGTCATGGTTTCATTGGTTATTTCAGGCAAGTGGCCTAATATTATTGTTAGTGTTTCTGTTCTATTTCCTAGTTTGCTTTATGGTGCGTGGGATCTTAAAAACGAGATGATGTCCAATTACCGTTTATTGAGCATTTTTGATAAAAAAATTCTATAACAAGATCATGATCCAAAGGAAAGAATGATGAGGGAGTTGTATGTAGTTTCCTGGAATCCAGATTTCTGGTTTTCATGGAGGCTGGGGTAAACCACACAGGCTATTGCTTTTGGGTGACCTTTTGAACCTCGAGCTTTGAGAAAAAAACTGGTTCCTGAAGTCACTTTGAGTCAAACAATGGTCCACATAAACCAGTAAGACAATTTTGCTCTGGGTATTGTGCTTTTTTTTGACGAATTCAGTCTGTTTTAGGAAACTAACTTCAAAGATCAAACTGAGAGTTATCTTTAAGGTAAATTAGTAATTACTTTTATCAGTCTTTAAGACAATGTCTTATGAAATACCTGCCTAATGTTTGTAATCAAACTGTCACCGTCTTAGTATGCAGAAAATTATGCATCTTAAAGAAACTAGATTCTTAGAGGAGATTGACCTCATGGCTCAGACTCTGTTTTGTCTTAGGTTCCATTTCTGCTTCTGAGAAAATGACCCATGACTGTTAATAGGTAAACCAAGGAGGGGCAGCTTGTCCTCAGGGAAGAATTTAGTATGTTTTAAACAGACTAACTGAAGACCTCCAACAGGAGAGGTGCATCCTGTATTATCTTGCTAATCACGAGTTCTCTAATGGAAACTTTGTTATCACATGTAAATTTTTCTATACCTTCTGTTGTCTCTAGACAAACTTTGAGTGCTCTTTATGGATATATATATTTGTGTGGTAGATCCAACTACACTAATTTAGATGATCTCTTTCCAAATGATAGTGAATTTGTATGGGCAATCTCTTGTTTAGATTCCTGATGAATGTGTGGACAATGCACTCTGAGAACTTTAGAATTATTTTTAAGTGTTCATAGTAACAATGCTAGTGAATATTGGAAAGGCAATGTTACATTGTTACACATTGCAAAATGAAAGTCAGAAGAAAACCCATTGGTCCAACACTCAGAATATGGTTGGTAGCTTTAATTTCTACTTATGGTGTATCTGAATTGGAGAAATCTTCAAGAAAATTTGTCAGTCACTATGGGACAAATAACAGATGAGATGGAAGCACAACAGTGAGCTCTGATCTCATAAAGTCAAAGTGACATAAGATAACAAAATAACCTTAGATTTTTTTTTTTTTATTATTAAAAGAAAGTGTAGTCTGTGCTGTAGTCAAGGTATACATAGAATTAGACAACAAGCTGTTGGTTACACACTGTAACACCCTTACAAACACCATATCTATTTGGTTGGTTTCCATCAGGAATAAGTACATGAGCTAGATCAGTACTGCAAGGGTTAGTAATATTCTTGGTCTGCATCCTGATAGTGTTAGGTATAATAAAATTTATCCTCTATTGTCTTACACACCTAAAAGACAAAGAAAGCCTTGGGCTAAAGTGTTGATGTACATTGAGTTTGCTCACTCTGGCATTGCAATTGATGGGAACATCGCTCTTACTTAAGATCCTGGTGAAGAACCAGATGGTATCCGGTGGAAAACCAGCACATGAGTTTAAACAGCCTGCAATGGCTGCCATCTAGGAGCTCGACTAAGTCCAGGTATTGATCATCGATGTGTTATCTCGAATCTCAAATCAAAGGAGGGACTGATTTAGGAAATAATATTGGAGTTATTATTCCCTCTCCTTGAGCATACAGAATGTGACCCAGCTGGAGCTGGGCTCACAAAGACTTACAAGGACACATCAACTGGGCCCTGAGGTATAAAGACAATAGCTAAGACAATCTTGGAAAACATCTTTTAGGGAAACTCTCACATAAAGCGCATCAAACACAACACAAAAAACTTTCCACTCCTATCTTTTTTTATTACCATTTAGTGAATAGATATTTGTTGGACCTATGAAGACCCTCCTGACTCTCATTACTGAAACCTGTACCAATGATTGTTAAGAAAGACCATTCAAAATGTAGGATCACAGTTTCTAGCCAATCTGTGAAAAGGTGAAGCTTTCGATGATTTTGCCCATTTGTAATGTTAATATATAATGAATGCTCTATAATGGTTCCTTGAACTAGGACAGACATGGCTGTGGCAGCATGCTTGTCCATATTCCCGTTCTTGCTTATTCTGTAATGTTCTTTGGACTCAGGCAGACAAGTAGCATGCTTGTGCGTTTCCCACTTCTGCCCTTTTTGAATACATGCCGAATAAAACTTACTTTTGCTTTAAAAAACAAACAAAAAACCAAACCTGTTGCCATTGAGTTGATTCCAACTCATAGCAGCCTTATAACAACCCTAGTAACTAAATAAATGCTGATTGAATATATAAATACATAAATGAATCAGTGAAAATTTCATCACTAGGAAGTCTGAAAAGATGAGTTTAAAGTGATATATGGAATATGGACAACTTATAAGTTTCTCCTGAATTGGACGGTTAGTGTGGACTTAGCAGAATTTTAATCGAGGCATTGTGACTCCCCAGAATACTGGTTTCATTATTATTTAATTGAAATTTCAAAACATTTCTTCCCATAGTAATACATACATCAGATATTATTTTGTGTTATCTATGTCTTTGCTCAAACTTATTATCACAGTTGTATTGGAATTCAACCTCAGTTGCAAACCCTAGTCGCCCTACTGACTTAGCATTAAAAGCACGATAGATTCTTCTTGCCTTTTCTGTCAGGTTAAACTGTGGAGAAATACAGTACATATAGACTAAGAGTAAAGGCAAACAAATATGCTGCCTTTTCAGCATCTTCAAGGTTAGAGTCTTACATTTTTTATAGATTTTATAGGATCATGCCATTTTTTCTCATTTGAGAATACAGAACACACTAAGTAACCTCCAAGTTCCAAGAGATAATCCAGTTCAGAAGGTGATCTAACACAGAGTTTGAATTTTGTTGTGTTGATTTGTATTTTTAAGAGAGGTACTCAAATTTTAAATTCTTATTTAATTATCATGTGCCATTTATTTAACCAGGGAAAATTTGGACACATCTGAGGACCATGTTAGAATACAATTAGATTAAAGGCAAAGCTACCAAAATTTCCCTGTGTTTGAAATTTGTCATCATTGTATTAAATAGATACAAGCCTTTAGGTGTCCTCAATAAACATCAGTTCTTAATATTTTAAAGTAAGATATTTGCCTACGTATGACAGTTGACATGATTTGACCTAATATAGTTCTCTTTATTTTCAGTTACCATTTTATACTATTGCAAAAAATATGTATTTAAATTAAGCGATCTCTGAAAACCTTTCCATTTCTTACAATCTCTTATCCTAACTTTTTTTTTTTTAAATGCGGAAGACATTACAAACTGATCTTTAGGAAATACATTTTCAGAAATATTCTACATGTGTACCAAAGGGGGGGCAGTGCTTCCTTTCATAAAGAGAAATAACTTTCACACACACACACACACACACACACACACACACACACACACAAACAAGCTATTCATGTGTGAAATAGAAGGGCCTGTAGAAGGAAGTGAATGATGTGTAGGAAGTTAAGGCCACATTTACGACTGCCTGGGGGAAGGAGAGAAGACAATCTGAGTCTTCACAGGAAGAATGGACAAGCTCCTGGGAGCATTACTGTTGATTCTGTGGCTTCAGTCAGACTGTGAGTTGTGGAAGGGAAATAAGAATACAGTAGAAAAATTCTTAGATTCGCTACAAGTCTGGGAGATGAAACAATTGGAAGTGCTTTGTTTTTTGGCTCATGTGGATTTTCTGTGGGGACTTGAAGAATAAAATTTTAAATCTGTTACTTTCTTTCCAATCAGGGGCCAATAGTCAACCAAAGGAGAAGGATGACCAGCAGGTTAAGCAAAATCCTCCATCCCTGAAGACCCAGGAAGGAGAAATTTCCATTTTGAACTGTGATTACAATAATGATCTGTTTGCTTACTTCGTATGGTACAAAAAAATCCCCTGCTAAAGGCCCTGCCCTCCTGATATCTATACGTTCAGGTGCAGATAGAAATGAAGAAGGAAGATTCACAGTCTTCCTCAATAAAAATGCTAAACACGTCTTTCTGCATATTGCCGCCTCCCAGCCTGGAGACTCAGCCACCTACTTCTGCGCAGCAAGTGCACAGTGCTCTACAGGTACCTGCAGCCTGTACCCAAACCTGCAGGTGGGGTCCAAGCCAACTTTTGTTTTGCGGTCTCAGAGTGGGAGGCCCACAGACTTGCTTCCATTTACACACAACAGCATGCAAGGGTGTGCTTTAAAGTAGGTGAGACAAGTTGAGCTTAAAGCAAGACTGACACTTGGCAATTTTATATATGAGTAAGGAAAGTTCCCTAAGCTTTAGGGTGCCGAAGGGTCTAACCTCTCCTTTTTACTTTCAGCAAGAGGTTGTTGGCTTAGCTAAAGCATAATCTTGAGTGATTCTTTTCCCCCACAAGATCCTGGAATGAAGATACCCTGTTTCCCTTGTATTTTCAGAGGGAAGAAACATACAAGAAAACATTTCCAAGAGCCTTCACCATTTTCTCTAACCTCCAACTTCTGCTAAATCACCATTAGAAGAAGAAGAGTAGGAGAAGGAGAGGGGAGAAAGGGGGTGGGGAGAAGGAGGAGGAAGAAAAAAGGAAGGAAGGAATATTAGTAATAATAATAGTAACAATTATCAAATTTGATGGAACTTTTATGATACTGCCCAATTTACATGTATTACCTTATCTAATCCTCCCAATAACTCTTTAAGATAGCTGTTATAATAATCCATATTTTAGAAGTTAAAACAGACGATGAGAGATTAACTAATTTGCTCAGGGTCACTAACTTAGTGACTGTGGAAATAGGTTTCATGCTCAAACTACCTGACTGCAAGTCCCACAACGTGAACCAACAATGCTGCCTTTCAACAGAAGCCATTGACTAGGGATACACACTTTTAAAAAGCTGGCAATTCCTTTGATTCTTAGCACACATTTCTTCATCATTGACCCAGAGAGGGGTCTCATTACCCCTCACAGACCATGAAAGCCTGAAAATACAGTTTTATTTATATGCATCATGCTTGTAGACAAACGGTTATACTTGTTCCTCATGAACTGATTTTATGATGCTGAAGTTCTTTTCAGTTAGAGGATGTAGAAATTCAATATGCTTTTCAGAAACCATGAAGAAGCTTCTGGAAACCTCATACTTACCCTGTGGCTTAATCTGGCTCTTGATTTCCTCAAGTGATGCCGAACACATTTCTGAACAGAATAAAACTTCTTGCTGTGGAGTCAATTACGATTCAAGAAGATCTCATGTGTTACAGAGTAGAAGTGCTCCATAGGGTTTTCTTGATCTTCATCTTTATAGAGGAGCCCCTGGGTGGCACAAACGGTAAAGTACTCAACTACCAGCTGAACACTGGCGTTTTAAACATTGGCATCTCGAACCCACCCAGAGATGCCTTGGAAGGCAAGCCTGGCGATATGCTTCTGAAAGGTCACAGACTTGAAAATGCTATGGAGCAGTTCTACTTTCTGCACACATGGGCTCACCCTGAGTCATAATCAACATGACAGCAACTAACAACAATTTTCACCGAAGCTGGGCCTTTCTTCCATGGTGCTGCTGAGTGGGTTCTAATCTCTAACCTTTAGGTTAATAGACTAGCGCAAACCATTTGGGCCACACAGAGACCTTCTGAACAGAATGTTGTTGTGTGCTCTTGAGTCAATTCCAACTCATAGTGACCCTATATGATGGGGTAGAACTGCCTTATAGGGTTTCCTAGGCTGTAATCTTTATGGGAGCTGATCATATGGTCTTTTCTCCCACAGAAGGGCTGGTTGGTTCGCTGGCCTTTCTGTTAGCAGTCGAGTGCTTAACCATTGTGCAACCCTGGCTCTTTTCTGAACAGAAATCTGTTGCTGTACAGACAATTTTGATTCATAGCAACCCAAAGGACAGAGTAGAACTGCTCCATAGGGTTCCCAAGGCTGTAGTCTTTACAGAAGCAGACTGTCACTCTACTCCCTTGAAGCAGCTGGTGAGTTCGAACCATACACCCTTTGCCTACCAGGTGAGTGCTTAACTGCTGTGCCACCAGGGCTCCTTCTGAACAGAAAAGCGGTGATATATAGCTTTGCTTAGTTTGGTTCATCGAGATCCTTGTGGTGATAGTGTAACTACAAGGTAAAATCTATAACTTGACCAATTTTTCATATCTGATTCTATCTTTCTGAGCATGGATGAGAATTCAACTAAATGTGGATTAAATTTCCTTGATGCCTCCTTATCCAGGAGTAAGAGGGCACCAATCTCACCAGCAGTCTTTCTTCCACTTCTTTTTAAGGCTAACATTGGTATAGTTAGTTAAATGCTGTTGAGTCGGTTCTGACTCATAGGGACCCTGTAAGCAACAGAACGAAATGCTACTCGGTCCTGTGCCATCAACACAATCATGGCTATATTTGAGCCCACTGTGGCAACCACTGTGTTAATCCATCTCCACCAGGGTCTTCCTCTTTTTCTTTGACCCTCTACTTTAGCAAGCATGATGTCCTTCTCTAAGGACTGGTCCTTCCTGATAACATATTCAAAGTACATGAGATGAAGCTTCCAAGCAGCACTCTGGCTGTACTTCTACCAAGACAAATTTGTTTGTTCTTCTGGCAGTCCATGATGTATTCAATATTCTTCACCAGCACCATAATTCAAAGGCATCAATTTTTCTTTGGCCTTCCTAATTCATTGTCCAGCTTTCATATCTATATGAGGTGATTGAAAATACCATGGCTTGCATCAGGCACACCTTAGTCCTCAAAGTGACATCTTTGGTTTTCAATACTCTAAAGAGATCTTTTGCAGCAGATTTGCTCAATGCAATGCTTTATTTGATTTCTTGACTGCTGCTTCCATGAGTGTTGATTGTGGATCCAAGTAAAATGAAATTCTTGACAACTTCAATGTTTTCTCCATTTATCATGGTGTTGCTTATTAGTCCAGTTGTGAGGATTTTTGCTTTCTTTATGCTGAGCTGTAATCCATACTGAAGGCTGTAGTCTTCAACCATCATCAGCAAGTGCTTCAAGTTCTCTTCGCTTTCAGCAAGCATGTTTGTGTCATCTGCATATTGCAGATTGTTAATGAGTCTTCCTCTAATCCTGATGCCCTGTTATTATTCATATAGTTCAGCTTCTCAGATTATTTGCTCAACATACTGATTGAATAAGTATGGTGAAAAGGTACAACCCTGACCACACCTTTCCTGGTTTTAAACCACACAGTATCCTCTTGTTCTGTTAGAAAGATTGCCTCTTGGTCTATGTACAGGTTCCTCATGAGCACAATTAAGTGTTCTGGAATTCCCATTCTTCTCCATGTCATCCATAATTTGTTGTGATCCACACAGTCGAATGCCTTTGCATAGTCAGTAGAACACAGGTAAACATCTTTCTGGTATTCTCGGCTTTCAGCCAAGTTCTATCTGACATCAGAAATGATATCTGTCATTCCAAGTCCTCTAGCTTGACTTTCTGGCAGTTTCCTGTCGATGTACTACTGCAACCATTTTCAGATTATCTTTAGCAAAATTTTACTTGCGTGTGATATTAATGATATTGTTTGATAATTTCCACATTCTATTGAATCACCTTTCTTTGGAGTGGGCACAAATATGAATCTCTTCCAGTCGATTGGCCAGGTAACTGTCTTCCAAATTTCTTTACATAGACCAATGAGCACTTCCACCACTACATCCATTTGTTGAAACGTCTCAGTTGGTAGTCAGTCAATTCCTGGAACCTTGTTTTTTGCCAGTGCCTTCACTGCAGCTTGGAATTCTTCCTTCAGTACCATCAGTTCTTGATCATTTGCTACCTCCTAAAATGGTTGAACGTCGACCAGTGCTTTTTGGTACAATGACTCTGTGTATTCCTTCCGTCTTCTTTTGATGCTTCCTGTTTCTTTCAATATCTTGCCCATATAATCCATCAATATTGGAACTCAAAGCTTGAATTTTTTCTTCAATTCTTTCAGCTTGAGAAATGCTGAGCGTATTTTTCTCTTTTGGTTTTCTGACTCCAGGTCTTTGCACATTTCATTATAATACTTTATTTTGTCTTCTCAAGCTGCCTTTTCAAATCTTCTGTTTAGCTCTTTTACTTCATTGAAGTTCAAGAGCAAGTTTCAGAGTCTCTTCTGGCATCCATTTTGGTCTTTTCTTTCTTTCTTGTCTTTTTAAAGACCTTTTTTGCTTTCTTCATGTGTGATTTAAGAATTCCTTAAAAAGACAAGAATTCTTTGTTAAAGTAGTTAAAATACATCAATGGAACCATCGTCACTGATTTTGATTAGACAAACAAAAATTATTACACATGGAAATAAATAGGAAAATTTGACTTATAGTCAAGAAAAAAAGCCACCAATGGAAACTGACTCTGAGATGGCCTAGGTGTTGAATTTAGCAGACCAATATTTTAAGCAGTTATTATATATATGTGCAAAGAAGTAAACAAAAATACATTCAAATAATTGAAGCAAAATAAGTTCTTAATAAGTGAACAAAAGTAAAATCTCAGCAGAGAAATGGAAGCCATGAAAAAAGAAAACAATGGAAATTTTGGAAATAAAGAGTTCAATAACTGAAATAAATTCACTGGAGTACTTCTGGTTTCTAGTGTGTTACGTGAAAAGCTTAGAGGCATCACTCCCAACTTTAATTTTTTTTAATATAATTTTATTTATTTTGTCATGGTTGTTCAGAATATACATAGCAAAACATATACCAATTCAACGGTTTCTCGATACACCATTTAGTGACATTAATTACATTCTTCAAGTTGTGTAACCGTTCTCACCCTCCTTTTCAGAGTTTTTTCTCCTCCATTAACGTAAATTCAACTGCCCCCTAAGGTTCTTATCTAATCTTTTGAGTTGCTGTTGTCAGTTTGATCCCATACAGATAGTTCTTACAAAAGCAGACAGTTTTTACTAGGTAAGCTATTGTGTGATTTTAAGACTTCAGGGGATATTTTTGGTTTAAGAATTATTTCAGGGCAATAGTTTCAGGGGTTCTTCTAACCTTCATGGCTCCAGGAAGCCTGGAGTCCATTAGAAATTGAAATTCTGTTCTGTATTTTCCCCTTTTTGATAAGAATTCTTCTATGGACTCTTTGATCAAAATGTTCAGTAGTGATAGTTTGGCACCATCCAGTTCTTCTGGTCTCCATGGCAAAGGAGGCAGTTGTTCATGGAGGCAATTAATCACATTCTATATCTTCCTCTTATTCCTGACTCTCCTTCCTCAGTTGTTCCAGGTGAATAGACACGAATTGTTGTGCCTTGGATGGCCACTTGCAAGCTTTTGAGACCCCAGGCACTACACATTGAACCAAGAGGTAGAACAGAGTCACTAAACATGTTATTAGACCAGTTAATTGGGATGTCCTAT